TCTCTACATATAGATTTTATTTTGACTCTACTTAATTTCGCCATTAACAACAATTATTTCTGGTTCAACCAGAAATATTACCTTCAGACTAAGGGCGTAGCGATGGGGGCAAAATTTGCCCCCAGCCTCGCTAATCTGTTCATGGCACATTGGGAGGAGATGCTAATTTTTTCCAGGGAATGGCCTGAACTCGCTTTTTATAGACGCTACATTGATGACGTCTTCCTCCTTTGGAATGGGGAAGAACAATCTTTGATCAATTTCTTCACCACTCTTAACCACAATGACCTCAATATTGAGTTGTCCTACAGCTATAGTACAAAGGAAATAAGTTTTCTTGACCTAACATTGATCAATTATCAAGGTGGAATAGTGACTAAAACGTTTTTTAAAAAGACAGACCGTAATGGTTACATACCCAAGAACAGTTGCCATCACCCCAGATGGCTGGCTAACATTCCCAAAGGGCAGTTCATTCGGTTACGTAGGAACTGTACTGATTTAGAAACATTTCATGAACAATCCGAAATATTAAAAAATAGATTTTTAGAAAAAGGGTATGAAGAAAAAATTCTGGAGAACACTATTGACTCTGTAGCACACCTAAATAGGAATGACCTCCTTATTGATAAACAGAGGCCTAAGAAAAGCCACGTATGTCCGTTTGTTACGACATTTTCGAGACAATATAAAGAAATTAACCATATCATTTATAAGAATTGGAAGATTCTAAAAGCCGACGCCCCAGTACTCGCTAATATATTACCAGAAAAACCAGAGATTGTTTTCCGGAGGGCGACTAACCTACGCCACTATCTTGCACCAAACGTAATAGACCCTCCCAAAGAGATCTCCTTATTTAATGACCTGAATGGTTACCATCCATGTAATAAATGTATAGCTTGTAGATGTGATATAACACTAGAAAACATAAACAAACCACCTTTATGTCACACATAACGGGTAACACCTATAATATTAACAAATTTATTACTTGTAATAGTAAATTTGTCGTTTATTTGCTCGAATGTCCGTGCAAGTTGCAGTACATTGGACGTACCACCAGGAGACTAAGGGATAGGTTACGGGAACATGTCAATAATATAATACGTGGATACAGAGAACATTCGGTTTCAAATCATTTTAGGAGGTTTCATAATAAAGACCCTACCTCACTTAAATTTAAAGGAATAGACTTAATCAAACCTCACTGGAGAGGAATGCACAAAAAAAAGAGCTGTGTCACAATTAGAAATGAAATGGATATATGAGCTCCATTCTTTACAACCTAAGGGACTCAATATAGAGGTAGACATTAACTGTTTTATTGAGAACAGTTAATTGGGTCATTACACATTTTACTTATTCTTATCACCCGTCCTCTGTTGTTCTCTATGACGAACGATCACAATTTACAGTTCTTTCTTTCTATACCATCTTTACCACTTTACGGTTATGTCATTTTTATACATATATATGTATGTTTTTCATACATATATATATATATTATGTGTACCCATTTTTAATATATTTAATGTTTTCTATACATTTTTTACACTCATCTATGGTCCTAGTAGTATTTAGAAACCGGATACTCTATTTCTGTCTTTTGCTTTTATCTAATACCTCACATCTGTATGTAAGGATTTATTATTATCTTTTGTATCCATGTGGGCCATACGATGTTACACCACTTCTATATGTAATATTTAGCCGATTTGGAGTTGGCTGATACATATTATTATTGTTTACCAAAATTGATTTTTATTGATACTTTTATTGTTTTTGATTTTATTATGTATTTTCTGATCCGCACAATGCGCAGTAATTCTAGCTATATTTTCCATATGTAAACATAGATTATCCCCAAAACTCCTATTACCTCGTCTTTCAGTTGCCATTTGAAGACAAGCTGATCTTGGTAATCTCTTGCATCCCTGTTATATTTCTTTCTTTTTTTATTACGTTGTTCTTTCTCAATCCCTTTTAGGTATAGTCTTAATTTTTCTGATTCAGCCTTATATTCCTCATTACCTTTGTGTGGACTGAGCTTTTCCCGTATCAGGTTAATCTCAGAGTCAAGGTGTATCAATTTCTTTTTCTTGCGGGTAATGAGAAATTTAAGTAGGTCATTACCAGCATTATTAAAGAAATCAAACCATTCTGATAAATCAGTAGTATCATTTGTATCCGGAGGTACACTCCATCTAAGTGATCTGGGGATCATATGTTCCTTAACATACCTTTCCAGGAAAGATATGTCCCAGAGAGTCCTAATTTCAGCTGATAATAGATTCTGTAGATGGAGAAATGATCCTCTCAGGTCATTTTTTACCTCTTCCTCCAATGTGAACACATCATCTGATATGGTTGTTCTTGCTAATCTAAGTTCAAAAATGTCTCCCATTTTAGAACCATGTACCAGGCAGCTTCCAAAATATTGGTAAAACAGAAATATAAAAGTGACTGGGAAGAAGCGCCTTAGTACTAAATATTGTAAAGCTGCTATGCACAAATGAGGTACCAATAACCCCTAGAAGACCGTAATAAACATATAAATAAAGTGCAGCGCTAAACGTTTATAGATAATGACAAATATTTGATCAATATTCGATCAATATAAGAAGTCCTCCTGCAAATAGATGAAAGAGAATGGGTGCTCAGGTGATCAGGTGACTTGATCCTGGTATCCGTGCACGTAAGTGATAAAGCAATGCGCACTCACCAGACCCGCATAAAATATGCGCCTTTGTGTATAAATTATCCAGATGTCATCCGGTACTGGGTTCTTTCTTTCTATACCATCTTTACCACTTTACGGTTATGTCATTTTTATACATATATATGTATGTTTTCATACATATATATATATTATGTGTACCCATTTTTAATATATTTAATGTTTCTATACATTTTTTACACTCATCTATGGTCCTAGTAGTATTTAGAAACCGGATACTCTATTTCTGTCTTTTGCTTTTATCTAATACCTCACATCTGTATGTAAGGATTTATTATTATCTTTTGTATCCATGTGGGCCATACGATGTTACACCACTTCTATATGTAATATTTAGCCGATTTGGAGTTGGCTGATACATATTATTATTGTTTACCAAAATTGATTTTTATTGATACTTTTATTGTTTTTGATTTTATTATGTATTTTCTGATCCGCACATGCGCAGTAATTCTAGCTATATTTTCCATATGTAACATAGATTATCCCCAAAACTCCTCTTTTTAGTTGCTTATTATTAAGCTATTATTCATACTAATCCAGTATTTCTGCTGGGGTGTGGTTATTACCATAGCGTAAATATAGAATGTTTTTATCCATTCTCTGCTCTAGGGCGTTATACTTTTTGCCCTGTGTAATTTTAGCACATTACAGTATTGAATATACAGACGGTTCGCCTGTACTGTTTATTCACCCGGGGAGACCAAGGGAAAATGGCGCGCGTCTATTCGCGCCTGCGCAGTTCGTTCTGCACGTCCCCAGTCAGGCTACACCTTATTGCGCATGTGCGTACTTCCGCTTAAGTACGAGTGACGAACGGCATGGCGTGTTTGGCAACCCCCCTCTGAAGATGTGCTGGAGCACGACACGCGTAAGGAGGAGCCATAACACGCCGTGAAGTCACGCCGTCAGAGCAACGCGGAGCTCTGGCGGCCATCTTAGCATTCCAGACGGTTAGTTGTGCACTAATAACTGTCTGCAACGTTTTATGCCTAACCTCAATAAAAACCCTATTTTATTACCAAATACTACACTATGGGAGTATCTTTGTTACCCCCTGGGGGAGCACTCTAATTTGCAGACCTACTCCTGGATACACCGGAGGGACCCGGACCAGATCTCTTACCATTAAACATCACCCCTAAGTGGAGAGGATCATCAGCCTCATATACAGCTGAAGGAGGACCACCCAGTACCGGATGACATCTGGATCATTTATACACAAAGGCGCATATTTTATGCGGGTCTGGTGAGTGCGCATTGCTTTATCACTTACGTGCACGGATACCAGGATCAAGTCACTTATCTTGTCATTATCTATAAACGCTTAGCGCTGCACTTTATTTATATGTTTATTACGGTCTTCTAGGGGTTATTGGTACCTCATTTGTGCATAGCAGCTTTACAATATTTAGTACTAAGGCACTTCTTCCCAGTCACTTTTATATTTGAAAATAAAAATTAATTGATAAAAAGGGTACATCATCACATAGTATGTGTATAAACAGGAGAACCAATTAATAAAATTAAATTAAAAATTATACATATGTGTATATATATATATATATATATATATATATATATACCCATTTATAAGGCAGATATTAAGAATAAATCCAGACATGTGTGAATAAAATGAACAAAAGCTCATTGGCCATTAAACATAAACAATACAAAAATACAATCGATACCCTATAATATAGTTACCCACCCCCCCCCCCCTTCCATACAAGTTGGACTTTTAAAAGCATATGGACATTAATCTAATCTTTTTACCTCTCCAGCGCCAATATTTATCTATTGTTACCAATAAAAAAAATAGTTGACAAAAAAGGAGATTCAAATGGTTTCAGTGGATTTTATTCACAGTTTACATTTTCATAACTGCAACAAATGATAAATAAATAAAGACTCCCAAGTCACAAAGGTGTTATACATTTAGTCTATAGAGACCATTATTGAGATTTTCTGTTTTGTGTTCTTACAAAGCAGCAGACAGTCTTGTGGGACTTCCAATATTTTATATAACAAATCATTAGCCGGTACAAATGTCTTCATGTAACCCTGAGTTTAATGCGTAGGTACTCCGTACATGTTCTCCTTTTAATAATTCCTCAGAATGGTGATTGTTTAAATCGATAATTAGATCTCTGCTCTATAGTAATACATGTAAACAGACAAAAAAAAAAGGAATAATATGAGGAATCAGACAGAGATTTCCTCTTTTACCCTCGTAGGTCTATCAGACCATCCACTGACCATGAATGCACTTTTTGGGCTTTTCCTTCTGATCTATCTGATGACTCTTACCACAAACCTTCTTATATTTTTCTTGGTCCTCACTGACTACCATCTGCACAACCCAATGTATTTTTTTCTTGCTAACTTGGCATCTCTGGACATGGCCTATTCATCGGTGACTGCACCAAGGATGCTCTATGACTTGGTCACAAAAAGCCGATCAATATCCATTCCTGCCTGTATAGCCCAAGTATTTTTCTATCTCTACTTTGCTTGCTCAGAACCTTTCTTGCTCTCAGCCATGTCGTACGACCGTTACATTGCCATCTGCCGTCCCCTACATTACAAACTAATGATGTCTTGGAGGGTCTGTGCTCGTATGGTCTCCATGGTCTGGGTTGTAGGATGTTCTGTCTCATTGGTTTATACTTTACTTTTGCTCAGGTTGTCCTTCTGCAGAACTTCTTCCATCCACAACTTCTTTTGTGACCTTCCACACTTATATCAGATTACATGTACTGACCCCTTCATAAACATGGTGGTCCTATTCTTAGTAGGTGCTACTTTTGGATTAGGAGCCTTTCTTTTGAACTTTCTTCCATATGTCTATATTCTTAGTACCATCCTCAGAATCCATAATAAGACTGGAAAGAGGAAAGCATTCTCTGCCTGCACATCACACCTCACCGTGGTCTTCATCTTTTATGGCTCCATAATTTTTATTTACTTTGTTCCCACTTCCAGCAATATGGTCAATTTAAACAAACTGTTTTCAGTCATATCTGCCCTCATTAACCCATTGCTGAATCCTCTGATCTACAGCCTGAGGAACAAAGATCTCATGGAGGCACTTAGGAGGTCTTATTATCACCTAAAATCAATTCAGGTTTCCTGCTGAAATAAAAATTGCGAATATTGACACTTTTATTTTTCTAGGAAATTTTTAGATGACTAAAGATTTTAGTAATGTCTATCATAAATTGTAAAAATGTCAGTTGTTCATAGTTGTTCCTGATCTATGGTCATTGAAATTTTGATGCCTTGCCCACTTTCTTTTTCCTTTTCCTGCGTTTGACTTCTTTTTTACTAATTTCAAATACATTACATATCAAAAATACTTATATAGAGAAACATTAAATAAAAACTTGACATGTCATAGGAGGGAGGACATACAAGAAGGTGCATTCTCAAGAACCCCCAAACTCTTTTTCCTAACGACACTTTTCTTTCCCCTTTAGAAAGAAAGGAAGATAACCCCTCGTTTTAAAATACTATTTGGTTCACCCAGGTTTATCCAGGAGTTCTTAGATCCACCAAGACTTGTCCTACCTACCTCTCCCCCCCCCCCAATCAACTCTCATCCTCCATCTCTGTTCATGTTTTGTGACTTTACAAAATAATCCCAATCGTGACTTTTTACCCCTTTCATTTTTTTTCCTTAATCTTTATAGTGTCACCCCCTCCCCCCCTTCAAGAAGGCCACATTCTTCGGATTCAGGATCTGTTGGTTAACCTCACGATAAATCTTTGACTAATTTACCTATCAAAATATTTTTTACATATTTTATAAACATATAAAGCTTTTAACTAACATACAGTTTCATAAAAACTTCATAAAAGTTGAGAAATGTACAATAGTATAAAAAATGCAGTTTTAGTATAATTCATGCTTAAATGATTTCACATAATCAATGCTCTTCCAAATATTTTCACCAAATTGTTTAAGTTTTTATACATCTATCAGAGCCGTATGGTCAATAAACAAGTGTGTACATTTTAGGCATTCTTCATTTTCCACTGGAATGGCAGGAAGGAAGGTAATGAATGAACATGTGTACTCAGTGTCCAATCTGTAGATAGTGGGAATGTCCCTTTAAGAGAATTTCACAGATTTAAAAAGTTTTGATACCATTTAGTGTGAGCAGAGAGTAATTATCTCTAAAGTAGTGCTCATTCCACCATCAAATTTGAGATGCTTCTGGTGGTAATGAGGGGAAGATAAGATTTTTTTTTCCTCTAAGGACAATTCAACTGACTTTTCTGGGGCATTGTTCTATTGAGGGCATTATTTTATTGAATCCCAATGATGGCGCTATTTTCAATTTTAATGGTCAATAAATCATAGTTTTGTTACATTTTCAGTCAATTTCAACAAACATTTGACAACTCCAAACAAAAGGTGTTTTCATTTTGGATGGATCGAGTTAGATCCGCTCTCAAATTTTGGGTTGATTTCCAAAATGTGTTATTAATTAACCTCTTCCATACCGGGCACTTTTACCCCCTTCCTGCCCAGGCCAATTTTCAGGTTTCAGTGTTCTCACACTTTGAATGACAATTGCGTGGTCATACAACATTGTACACAAACTAAAATTTTATCATTTTCTTCACACAACTAGAGCTTTCTTTTGATGGTATTTAATCACTGCTGGGGTTTTTATTTTTTGCTAAATTAACAAAAAAAGACCGACAATTTTGAAAAAAAAAACACGTTTTTCTGTTTTATAAAGGTTTGCAAATAAATAATTGTTCTTCATAAATTTAGGCCAAGATGTATTCTGCTACATGTCTTTGGTGAAAATAACCCAAATTAGGATGTATTTTTTTAGTTTGTAGGAAAGTTATAGAGTTCACAAACTATGGGATATATCTGAATATTGATCAATCCTGAAGTACTGACAGCCAATTTAATTTCTTGAGGTCCAAGAATGTCAGAACAGTACAGATATCCTCCAAATGACCCCTTTTTGCAGAGTAGACAGTTCAACGTACTTCATAAGAGGCATGGCGAGTTTTTTTTGTGAAGTTGCATTTTTTCATCATAATTTTTCGGAAAATTAAAAAATTAAAAAAATTATTTTCGCTATTTTTTTTTTAGATATTGTCACCAGTGCAGTACAGCATCATCATATAACTGGCATGGCGGTGATCAGGGACACTGACTGGTGACAGTATGAAAAAAAAAAATTTATAATTTTTTTTATTATTTTTTAAATTTTTTATTAAATTTGTTTTCTTTTTTTAAGATTTTTTTTTCATATTTCACTATGACCAAAGTAGTACAATGTTACCATAGTAACATTGTACTACTTTTTGGAAGTGATCAGTATTTTTTTTTTTTTTTACACAATTTGTTTAGAGCAAAGAATTACTTTGCTAATAGCAAGCATTTACCTGAATGACATCGATTCATTCAGGGGTTTTTCGTTTTTTTTTTTGTGCTTAGTTGTGATTTGGCCACGGCTAATCACATGACACAGCTGGGCTGTGATTGGCCCAGCTTGTGCATGTGATCGCTGTGACCATTCACAACTAGACACACTAGTATACAATGGATGGCATGAATGAAGCCATCCATTGAATACAACTGTCATGTGACCTGCTGTGATTGGTCACAGCAGGTCACATGGTACCGGCAACGGGGCCGGTACTCAGATCTGTCATTGGCCGTGTCCGAGGTACACGGCCTGTGACAGATCGCGCCGCTGCGCGGCTCTGCAGGCGCGCAAACTGCGCATGCCCGAAAGGTCGCCATATGGCATCCACCCGGAAAGGTGAGTATTTTTGCTGGCCATAGGCCCGCTGGTAGAGGTTTTAAAGAAGCACATTTTTTTCATGTATCCAAATGGCTCTGAATTATAAAAGAAGAATTTCCATTTCACAGAATTGAATGACTGAAGTAAATTTCCACTGTCCATTGTCTTCCACTGTGTGCCGCCCAAGTTCTATAGCAGACCCTTTGAGTGTGGTATGGATTTTAAGGGGAAACCCAATGCAAAATTTTAGGGAAAAAAAAGAATGAAATCCCCCCAAAATCTCTAGTAGACCCTTATTAGAGCATGCAGCATGGCTGGCCAGGAATGACGGGGTGAACTCACCTCTTGAACCAAACTAGATCACATGCCCTCAACATGGGCAGGGTACCTTTTAAGGCTTTTAAGCCTGGTGTTTAAGGGGGACCGTGGGCAGGGGGTTTACCAGAATTTTGGAACCCTCCTTAAAAATACAGGTGACCTAGATACTGGATACCCCCATGTGAATGTGTAAGGGGTACATAATAAAAAAAAGTAAATAAACACACTTGTAAAAAATTAATACAAAAACTGAAATGTCATACAATGTAAATCCCTTGATGATCACATTGTCCAGAAATGCAGATCCTCGTTCATTGCGAATGACTTCAGCCAAGAGACCCCGCTCCTTTGCTTACATTTAGCAGAAGGGACCAGGAGCTGTCATTAGCTGAAAATTGGTAACTGGGTTAGATGTACTGGTGGGTCTGTGAATTTGTTCTTTCAACGCGTCAATGGGTTGACAGGAGTTGTTCAACATGATTGACTAAGATCTGCATCTATGAACAATGAGATTGAAGATAGATTTACATCTTTTGACTTTTTTGGTGTTTTTTATTTTTTTATTTAAAAACTTGTAAAAATTTTATTTAGCTACTATGCATCCGTATGGAGAGAGATATCTGGGTCCCTTTTATTTTTAAAGGGGTTTTCAATTTTAATAAGCTCCCTACCCTCAGATCCCACAACCCCCAGTTGTGGGACAGGCACCTTTGCCCTTAACAGCTTAGGAGCAAGGTGCTTTGCCAGGGGTGTCCCCTTAGCAAGGTACCCCCCATGTTGAGGGCATAAGGCCTTGCACAGTTCATATGTCTGCCTTGAACTTGTCTCCTCGTGTTCCTGGCCTTGTAATTGTACCCTGTACCCTGTTCCTGTAATTGTACTGTCTCCCTTATATTGTAAAGCGTGGCGCAAATTGTTGGCGCTATATAAATCCTGTAATAATAATAATAATAAAAAAACTCAGTTCAGATTTTTCTGTTAAAAGTTGACATGTGTACCAAAGTATGAAAAAAAATGCAATGGTGGAATGGACGCCGCTCTGTGATCAAGCCCCGATGGGTGAAATGCATCAGAAGCATGGCTGAAGTGACGGCTGAGGCCGTCCTATTCACTGGACTCCTTGTGGTGGTCAGAGTGGCATCCATTCTTCCACCACATAGATGTTACTGGAATCATTCACGGACGCTGCTCCCTCTCTTCATACTGGCGGGGTGATTCCTTCTTGTCCCCTAGCTTGGTGTGGGGCCACTAACCTCTTCACACAAGTATGAAAAAATGCAGATTTAGATTGAATAATGCCTAAATTATTTGACATTTAATTAATAATGTACCCAATATTTTCGCCATTTTTTCCTGGTTTTTATACATCTATCAGAGTCATATGGTCAATAAACAAGTGAGTACATTTTAGGCATTCTTCATTTTCCACTGGAATGGCAGGAAGGATGGTAATGAATGAACATGTGTACTGAGTGTCCAATCTGTAGATAGTGGGAATGTCCCTTTAAGGGAATTTCACAGATTTAAAAAGTTTAGATACCATTTAGTGTGAGCAGAGAGTAATTATCTCAAAAGGCGCACTCATTCCACCATCAAATTTGAGATGCTCCTGGTGGTAATGAGGGGAAGATAAGATTTTTTTTTTCCTCTATGGACAATTCAACTGACTTTTCTGGGGCATTTTTCTATAGAGGGCATTATTTTATTGAATCCCAACGATGGTGCTATTTTCAATTTAAATGGTCAATAAATCATAGTTTTGTTACATTTTCAGTCAATTTCAACAAACATTTGACACATGAACAACACTAAATATATATTATTGTAAACATATTTAAAGAAATAGGCACAAAAAATGGAATGATTTAAAATGTTGTAGAAACTGAGAACAACTCCAAACAAAAGGTGTTTTATTTTGGATGAATCGAGTTCTATCGGCTCTCAAATTTTGGGGTGATTTCCAAATTGTGTTACTTATTAAAGAGGCACATTTTTTCATGTATCCAAATGACTCTGAATTATAAAAGAAGAATTTCCATTTCAC